CTCCCTCTCCTCGTCTCCCACCCTCTCATGTCGTGCTTCAGGCCTACCTCGCCACTATCACCCCACCCGCCACTCACAAAGACCCAAACGGCGTCTCCATCGCCCGCCGCAATTTGTCCACCAGATCATTCCCGTCGCTCGCATTGTAGCAGTACGCTTACGGCTCGCCGAGCGCCATCACCGGCCCGTGCTGCACCGCCTTGCTGTCCTTAGTTGCGCCGCACGGGAAGCTCACTCATAAAACACCTCCCAGCCCTCTGGGTCGGGTTTGATGTATGCAAGCACGACGGGGACGCCGCGGTAGCTGGTGTTAATTGTGGTCATCTCGTCTCCCCTGCCCCCACGTGTCTTCCACCGTACCCCCTCCCCCCACTCACAGCGCCTCATACGGTGTCGGACTGATCTCCGGCTTCCCGATCCCCAAGAGCGCGCGCGCGCTCCCCAGAACCTCCAAATATGTCCGCGGCTCTTGCGGCCCCCAGCTCCGTCACCGCAGGCGGCACGGGATAGCCCGTGGTATTCATCAAATGCCGCACGGTCGTCACAGCTCCGTCGGCGCAATGGCGTCGCGCACGCTCTCAAGCACATCCGCAGCCCGCCACGGCGCAAGGGGAAGTAGTCGTTGCGCTTCGCGAGCACGAGCACCGCGTCCTTGCGCACGCTCGGCGCGCCGCGACACCCCCGTGCTCGTCGGTCCCTTCGTAGAAGATGGGTGTGAAGCCCGCGGCACGCACGGCGTCGTTCTGCGTCAGCCTCTCTGTCCTGATCATGCCTCCGGGCTCAGCTTCTGCCTTTCGTCTCTCCCTCGGCCTCGGCCGCGACCTCGACACCGCAACACGCACCACCGTCCAGCCCCACATAACCTCGCCGGGCCCTGCGCGGTCGCGCGCCGCCCGGTTCCAGTACCGGTAGTCGATGATCACGAGCGGCCGGGGCGGACAGTGCGTTATGCCAGGCACGCAGCGCTCGGCGCCCGCGAGGGCGTGGAAGTTGATGTCGTCGAGCGAGGAGCTGCGGGGCGTGAGCGGGCTGTTGGCGAAAACTCACTTGGAAGCCCAGAACGCCTGGAACTCGCGGTACTGCTGCGCGCGCAAGCATCCCGGAGCGTCGGCGTCAGAGCCAGGATCCCAACCCGCGCAGGCGTCGCGCGCGCGCCAGCGCCAGTGCACGAGGTAGAGCGCGCCGAGGAGCGGCAGTATCTTGTACACTGCCCGCATGGTGGGTGTAAGAGCAAAGGTCTGTGGTCGCTGTGCGAGGCAACGGTCTTTAATACGGGCGGCGCGCCGCAGGCACGCAGTGCCACTGTGGCTAGATCGGGCGCGGGGATGATAGCGCCCCGACGACGGGAGGTGAGGCGGCGAAGCGAAGAGGCGCCCTCGTCCCCGTCCGACCCAGAACCCAAAACCTTTATACATGATCTACGGCATAGGATACTTGCCGGAACACGGCGCGACATGCTCCCCATTGAAGCACTTGTCGACCATGATGTCTGGGTAGCGCGGCATGCCGCGGCCCGCGACGATGCGGTCGTATTCGCCCTCCCAGTCGTGCGTGAGGACTTCGCGCACACGCGCGTACACTGCCGCAGTGGTCATCTCGGGCGGGATACTGGTGTGAGACGTGCCCCGTCGTACAAGATCACAATCGCTTAGCTCGCACCACCCCGCCCCACTTACAATGGCTCTATTGGTGTCCGAAGCGCCCGCAACAACTTGTCCACCAGATCATCAGGATCGTGCACGTTGTAGCTGTACGCGTATGGCTCGCCGAGCGCCATCACCGGCCCGTGCTGGTACGACCAGCCATGGTACATGTTCCATCCATCGGGCGTGGGCTTCTCATGGTGCGAGTAAGGGAGGACGACGGGGACGCCGCGGCATCTGGTATGAGTTCTCTGCATTCCACCACGCTGGAGTCTCCATGACGACAGTCACATAACGCGCGCCAGCCGGCAGCTGCTCGGACTCACAATGCCTCGTACGGTGTCGGGCTGATCACAGGAAACCCGACACCGAGCAACACCTTCGATCGAGCCAGCAACCGCGCGTACTCCTCCGGATCGTGCTTGCCCAGCTGCGTCAGCGCGTCGGGGAGCGGAAACTTGTCAATGTCATTGCTGTTGGCTGTGGTCCAGAGCTTTGTTGGCGCGATGGCGTCCCGCACGCGCCCCAGCGCATGTAACGTCTCCTTGAACCACCCAAGGTGGAAGTAGAGCGGAAGCTTAGCGAGGATGAGGACGCCGTCCGCCGCGGCGCGCTCGCTCCTCGGCGTCGGCGGCAGGGCGCTGCACGCCTGCTCCACGCTCATAGCGATCTGCGTGTGGCCGGGATACGCGTATGGTGTAAGCACCCATTTGTTCCCCAGGGGATGGTAGGCCCACTCCTCGTCCCCGCACTGCCCCCAGTCGCGGCAGGGGTGCTGCGTGCCCTGCCACGTCTGTGGGCGGGCTCCCCACTGCCGTCAGCGCCCCCGAGCGGCAGGAGACTTACGAAGTGCACGCCGAAGACGCGCCATGCAGGCAGCACGCCGACATCGTCGTCCGGCGCATCGGGGAAGCGCAGCGACGCGTTCTTGTGTGGCACGTAGTCGGCGGGCCGCACGCACCGGGGGTCAAGGAGACACCTGACGGCAGCGTTCGCGTCGGTCAAGTAAGCGTGGACGGAGCTCGGGAGGGCGCGCGCAAGCGCCCACGTCTGCATGAAGCCCTTTTCGTCGCGCCCGTTAATGAAGATGGGGAGGAATCCAGCCTCGCGCATCCCGTCAATCTGGCGTCAATGCCGCCAGCGCCGCAGCGTACCGCTGTCCAGCCCCAGACCGTCTCGCCGGGCCCCCACATGTCGCGGTTCGAGCGCCACCAGTAGTGGTAGTCGATGAGGATGAGGGGGCGCTCGGGGCACGTCGTGATGCCGAGCGCGCAGCGCTCGGCCGCGAGCAGCGCGCGCCGGTTATGTGTTTCGAACTGAGCGCCGCTGGAGTTAGATGCTGCCAAGGCGTGAGGCGGCACTCACGCGCCGCTAGCGTGGAACTCCTGGAACTCGCGGAATTGCTTGGCGCGCAGGCAGTCCGGTGGGTCCTCGGCGCCGGGGTGCCACGCAGCGCAGGCGTCGCTGAGGCCGACGGAGTGCGCGGTCTTGGATGGCGAACGCGAGATCGTGTACAGCAGCCCGTAGACGGCGCAGAGCGCCAGTGCAGCCTTGTAGGCAGCGGCGCGCTTCAGCATTGTGGGCGATGGCGAGATAGATGCATGGTGTGCTTGTGCTGGACGGGACCGAGGTTGTGTAGAGTTGGTTCCACGCTCCGTGCCTCTGTGCCTGCACCCCAGCTTGGGCAGCGGTCACTTGGGCAGTCCCCGAAACTGAAACTGAAACTCTAAGCAGGAACTGGTGTCATGCAGCTGTGCAATAGCTGTGCCAGCACGCGGCGCGTGAGGGCGGCGGGCGTGAGATCAAGGTGAGAAGTGCAGTCCGTGAGATGCGGCGCCTGCCGACTGGGTGAGCATGTGAGAGGAGACCGGGTCGGTCAGATTAAAGAAGAGGAGTGTGGTTGTTGTTTCGTAAGGTTAGCCGTGATGTCAGCACTCCGGAAAAAGCGGGGACGGTGCAGTCCGCTTGGTCAATAAGACATGACAACGTTAGAACGACCTGAACTGACGAACATCCGGATCGAACGAGTCCAGGACGCCTTCGTGGCGCCCAATGCAAGATCGCCAAACATCGAATTTTCGAGTTTAGCAACCCTCCGCCATCTGACCGATCTGAACAATCATGAACGCCTAGATCAGGCGCAGTCCCACTGAAGCAGGAAGACACCCACATCTTTGGCACTGAAGGCTCACTGATCACTCACATCACTGACATCGCCCTCTCACCTCGAGGGGTACAAGTACTTCAAGTGCTTCGATGCTCCCAACCTCCTCCCCAGCCATCATGCTCGTTCTCACCCTCTCCCTTCTGCTCGCCCCCGCCCTAGCGCGCTGGGTAAACGACCTCTGTCCCCCCGGCCCCCTCGTCCCGTCCCTGCCTCCCGGCATCGCGCAGCCCGCCGGCGCGCTCAACTTCGTCGTCGTCGCGCGCGGCAAGGGATACCAGTGCGCGGACGTGAGCTGGGCGCGGGCGAAGTATGTCCCCTGGTCGATGTTTCCCAGCCCTCTCCGCGCTGTGCCACCGCCCTACTGACGCCAGCACTTACGACGCGGGCTGCGTCCTCTCCCAGCCGCCGCTGTATGGCGCCCTCGCGCCGGCCCTGCCCCGTCTTGTGCGCGATCACGTCGCATACCCCCAGATCGGGGCCATTCCGCAGCTCGCCCTCGAGCTCGTCGAAACGTGCGTGGCCACCCAGCAGCGCTGACGAGAGCGGTAACCAGCTCACTGTTACGGACCCGGGCACAGGGTTCTTCCTCACGCTCAATATCTCGGCGCGTATCGCCCCGCCCCGCGTCACCCGCGAATACGACTTTGCTTGGGCAAGCTTCAATGCTGTCGACGGCGACTTTGATTTCGGCACGGAGGTCCTCCGTACGGACACCGTTGGAGGAGTGCCGCGCCGATGCCGCCCCAATCGGCCCGTGGAGGCGGACTATGCCGCTCTCTACTGGTTCTACAAGTAGACCGCAGACACTGAGCGCCCAAGCAAAGCTCAGGGCCGGACCATACATGAACCATACATGACAATGAATCTCATAAGTACACGCACAGTACAAACGACTCTGCCGTCTACACGTCTACACGGCCAAAACGTCTAGCGCAAGCGGATACGACACACCATTGCGGTCCTGCACGTCCAGCACAGGTACCGCAGTCCATGCCGCGCCCATAACTCTTCCAAGCATAGGGACATCATCTGGCAGCTCGCCGCGGTGATATACGCGCAGCGCGAGGATATCACACTCGCTTCCTTGGTTCAGGAAGGACTTGATGAGGTATGGCATACGGAGGACCAATGCGCCTTGCGTCAGGATAAGTGAATGCGAATACACGTACTCTGAAAGAACACAATCGAACGAGTGCCTCGGGCCGGACTTTTAGCCTCGGCCATCTCGCGGTATGACCCGGGGAACATCTCGTTAGCGCTGTAGAACACGTCGAATTCCTTCTCCTCGTCATCGTCGTCGTCGTCGTCGTCGGCGGCGACTATGTGGTTGTAGCCTGGCCGGCCTGTGTGCAAGTTGACCTGGTACTCGACAAGAGCGCCCCGGGGAAGTTCCGCGGCGCGAACAAACAATACGGGGGCGTCGAGACATCGCATCTGACCGTCAGCGACATCACCACAAGTCTTACTGTCTCCGCCCATTCCTTCCAAGCGATGCGCGAGATCTTAGAGCCTTCCGCTCCACACCCCTGGGGTCGCGCCCACCACGCTACGCAGCCCTCGAGGGAGCCCTCCCAACCCCCACCGGCTGAGGTGCGGCAACGCAGTACGCTTATAATGCGGGATACGTGTTGCAGCGCCAGCGCGGCCTGGTGTCCGTAGGGACTGCATGCGGCCGGGTACGGCGCAATGGTGAGAGAGGCCGGCTGAAGCGGGATCTGACCGGCAATGTGCACGCGCGAATCCACCTGGCGTCAGACTTAGAGGCGATATGAAAACCCACGATCACGGCCTGCGAGTACGGCCCAATGTTCGCTGGAGCCCAGTAGCTTAAGCCTTGAACGTGCAAAGCCGTGCGGTCGCCGACTGGCCTGTTCCGCGGCCGACCATCAAAACCGATAATCTCAATGCGAATGCGTTGCTGCCCAGGTAGAGGGCAGCCGACACAAGCACGGGAAGGTGGTGACGTGCCAAAGTATTTGATATAAGCCGCATTTACCGCAGCAAAATCGGACATGGACGCGAGAAGGAGAGTGACATGAACTGCGTCGACAGGAAGCGAGAGGCCTTTGGATGTGAGATGTGCTGGTGTCAGCCAAGGAATTCAAGAACTCACCCTTTACGGAGTCCAGGGCAGCGCGAAGCTCGTCGGCAACGTCGCCTTCTCCCTGCCCAGTGGCAGAGGCAGCAAACCATCGCCCTCGATTAACGAAGCGAAGCGCATTGGGGTCTTCAGTGACCAGTGAAGAGGCCGGGGGGACGAGAGAGAACTCTGCCGGTTCGTCATCAGACTGTGGCTCATGCTGAGGACTTGAGGCGGTCGGCGGCAGTTTCGGCCCCCTATACGGCCCCTTGGCACCTTGCATCCGCCGAATACTCGTTGTCACGGGTCGAAGGCCTCTAGTTGTCTTTCTTGCCCCATCCGAATCGTTGCCCCCGTCGGGCTTGGGGCCATCACCATTCGAGCTTCCCGTGTCACCATCCTCGAACTCCTCCATGAAGGGGATCTCCATGCTATTCTCGTGCGAGTCGCACTCCGCTGGGTTGAGATCACTTCGGTCTTCAACTTCTGCTTTGTGTACAAGCTTGAAGACGCCAAGTCCGTCTCCGTCGAGGCCCTCCGCTCCTGGCTGTTGGTACTGACCGATACGAAGCGACTTTCGCAGTTGGGACACAGAGGGCCGTACCCACCCAGCCTTTGGCTCAAGCTCGGCCTTCTTGACCCGCATGTATGCGACCAGATTGGGCTCGGGATCAGTGACGACGACCTCGGACTCGATGATACGGATACGGTGAGAGAAGAGAGGTGTATCGAGCGTGAGGGTTTCATACTCGCCACCTTCGCCGGCAGGGTGCAAGCCGTACTTCGATTGCTATTGTCAGCAATTCCAAATGTCATCGTGCATACCAGCAGCATGAGAAGGGGGTAAAGCTCGGAGAGCGACTTGCCGACATGTTGCTCCTTGAGCCCGATGCCAGCTACCTTGATCAGGACAGCATCAAGACCTGATGAGATCATGCCCGAAACAAGCGACAGCTGCGAGCTCTGCCACAAATAGGACAGTGAGGTCAATCCAAGGCGCTGGCAGACGTGCTCAATGCGCAGGCGCTGGTAGTTGGACAGAATGGCGCCAGACGACACGGCTGTCGCCTCCGGATGCGCGGCCTAACTGTAAGCTTGGAAACGACACAGTACGCACGAGAACAGTACGAAGCAGCACGGTGAGATCCTCAGTCTCATCGCCTTCCCTGCCTGATCCCTCGCCACCGTGTTCGCGCGAGCCGTATTCCATCCTTTGCTCGACGGGCTTACCGCGAATGATGCCTGAGTAATGAGGTAGCCCCATCGCCTGTGCGATGAGGGGCGGCAAGGCTGTACCGACGGACTGATACATGTGCGAGTCGAGCTCGTCTAGTGTCAGTTACTGAATGTACTGATTCGGCCTTACCGACGCCTTCCTCCGGCGTGAGGGTAGCGAGGGCGACGATCTCATGACCGTTGGCGACGGCGTGCATGAGGTTGAAGCACGAGTCCTTGCCGCCAGAAACGAGGCCAATAACCTTGTGCTTGACGCCTGGAAGCGTCTGATTGCCTGGGCTTACCATGGCGAGAGGGAGTTGGGGGAGTGGAATAGCTTGATGGATGTTGTTGATTGCTGGACCGTGGATCTCTTAGACTTCAGATCACACTTGCGGAATCACGGAGATCAAAGGGGTTGTCCGTAGCCACGTGGGGTAATAGCGGGGAGATGAAGGGTTTGTCTCCGCTCGGCGACAATCGCCACCTGCGAGCAGTCGCTATCCCGCGTTTCACTTTCCTCGGGCCGCTTCAGACTTTTGATCACCTTGATAACATCGGCCACAACGGCCACAACACTCTCCCTCCCCGCTCTCTTCTCCCCACATCATGTCCCCTCCCTCGGGCTCCCCAGCATCGGCCCAGTGGCACGCAGTGACACCACATACCCGTCCCCTATCCATATCAATACTCGAGCTGGCACCCACCTCCGTCACCCTTGCTCTCACCAGGTCACCCCCTCTCCCCAACGTCACTCCTGCACAGCACGTTGTGCACTCGCTCGTGCATAACCACCATCATTGCGGAAAGAAGAAGAAGAAGCACCGCAAGCCTGAGAGCGACGAAAACGATGACGAGGAAGATTCGGGCTCGAGCTCGCACGTCCCCGGCGCTTATCCCAGCCTGCTCTCTGAGGGGCAGACCTTCAAAGACATGCTGAGTCACGGCGTCGTGGTCACGCTGGATGGAATGCCGTGGTCTCGGATTGTCGCGCACGTAAGCGACGACGCTGAGGAAGAGGAGACGCCGGACGACGACGAAGAGTGGGAGGACGAGGAAGACGCACACGAAGAGGAGACCGTTGGGACAACAAGCGGAACGGCACCTCACGCCGCGCGCCGGAGAAAGGGTCGACGCCCATCTCACGGGCCAACACGTCGTCCAAAGACCAACGATAAGCCGTCCGGGGCACATAGATGGGACCGCGAGCGCGCTGTAGTCGTGGTATACGACCTCGATCCCAGCAAGGAGCACGAGATCGAGCTCCAAATTGTTGGTCTTGCGGGTGAAATTAAGGAAGGTCTTCGTGAGTTGATCTGCTGAGCGCTGAGCCGACTGACACCAGTTCCCGTATCCAACACTGTCCTCATTCCGCCCGCGTCGCCCAATAACTCGAGTCTGCACCCTAGATCTCGCGCCAACTCGCTCCGGTCGCGGTCTAGACCACGATCACGGTCGAATTCAGTGAACACGCAGGCGCAGCCTGGACCGTCTCCACTAGCGAACACTGAGCCAGCATCACCTAATCGCTCCTCCACGCCCATACCGGACACTGCTGTCGTCCCGACCTCAATCTTGAGTCCGCACGACGCACAGACTGCCCAAACGCGACATCTCATCGCAGCGGCGCACGCAGAGCGCGAACTCTTGCAGGTGCAGATCAAGGAGGCGCGGAAAACGGCGCAGCGCTCTGAAGCGGCTCTCAAATCGGAGATTGAGTCGCTGAAGAAGAGTAACGAGAAGGCCGGGTCCAACGATCAGAGGAACAAGCAAAAGTACCTTGCCTTGCAAGAGCAAGTGAAGCAAGGCTTGGCTGCGGCAGAGGCCGCCAACGCAGAGACGAAGGAAGTGAAGGCGGGTGTGCCAGAGCTCGAGAAGCGTCTAGAAGAGGTCTTGAGTGATCTGGAGGGGGTCAAGGGCGAGTGGGAGGGCGTCAAGAAGGCGGAGGACGAGGCGCGGGAGGCGGACAAGAAGAAGCGCGCGGACGAAGACAAGAAGCTCTCTGACATTGGAAACAAGGTCGACAAAGTGCGCGCCAAGCGTGACCGGAAGGAGGCTGAGCGTGCTGAGCTCGCAAAGAAGCTGGAAGAGCTAGAGCGCGCACGCGAGGATGTTGAGCGCAAAGCCGAGGAGGAAAAGACTATGCGCAGGCAAGGGTATTATCCAGGCCACTGGAATGGCCAGCATCACGGCGGGTTCGACAGCCGGCCACTTTCGGCCCATCCGAGCATGAACAACCTTCACCAGGGCGGCAATTACACTGGGCCAGGCTTCCGACCTCGCGGTGGCTTCTCTCATCGCTATCCCTCGGGTGGGCGGCCGCCTCCCGCCGCAAGTCCAACGGTGGGCAATTTCTACGAGTCGTATGGCCGCCCGCGTCCGGCGCCAAATCCGACAGCCGCTCCTTTCCACCCCGGCAACTTCTCCCCGCCTACAGCACAACCCCAAGCTACTCCATCGGCCCCGACGTTCGACTCGGCCATCCACACGGCCTTGACTCCCCCACAATTCCAGCACCGCATCTACCTGCCGAACGTCCGGCCTCGCCCAACCCCAAACTTCCACCCTCCTCCCTCTGTCATCGCGGCGCAAGCCGAGAAGACGGCCTTTCCTCCTCTGTCCGGTGCCGCGCGCCCACCCGCGCCCACGGCCGGCCCAAGCCTCGCGAGCATCGTGACGCGCGCTGTGCTTGCTCCAGGCAGTGAGTTTAAGAATCTCGCGCCCGGCGCTCCCGGTGTGCCCGGGCAGGCGCCGCCGACCAACGCCGCACCGGGGGCGGGCCGGCCGACGGTCAGCCCGACGCTCGCGAACGCGAGTGTGCGCGGCGACTTCCCAAGTTTGTCGCCGACTGCGGGCCTGTTTGCGCCAACACGGCAGCGCACCCCTCCATCACACCCACCGTCTCATCCGCCATCACATCCGCCGTCCCATCCGGCGTCTCATGGCTCGGCTGAGGGTGCCTGAGCTGTACTCGCGTCTTGTTCGGCTTAGTGCACAGCATACTGCTTATACTCGATGCAAATTATTGTACATGTTCCGCAGAGGTTGAGCGCAGTGGGCACGAGGATACGAGGGACTGTGCTGCGGAACAGCGGCATGTGGCTCGCAGCATCGCACAGAGCAGTCTGCGGGATGCAAGGCTGATGTAAGGCCAAATGGACCTGGATTGCGGTGTTCTGTTATTGTTTCTCCTGAAATATGTGCACGGGCGATCAGGCGACTTTTGCCATCTCACTCTCTCACTCTCTTTCTTCCTCTCTCTTCCTCACTCCTGCCATCTCACACTCGTTATGCTATCCCTCCTACCTCTCCTACCCCTCGCCGCTGCCGCGACCTACCCCCTCGTCGACAGCCATAAGGGTGCGACCTTCCTGTAAGTCCGCGCCGTGACGAGCTGCATTCCGCAGCACGGGCCGTATCGCCGCGGGACGATCGAGCACGGGCGCCGCCCCGCTCGCTCCGACAGTGAGCCCAGCGTGCTAGGCTGGAAGCGGCGGCAACGCACGCTGCGGTAGCATGCAGCCTGCGACGACGATGCCGGCATCTCGTCAGAGCTTGGCGCCGAGCACGGTGGTTATTTTCGTGCCGCAGCTCCGCGGATGCGTAGGCTTTGTTTCCACTTACGACCCCTTCCACCCGTCACAATGCTGACACCAGCGACGGCTTCACGGTCCCCGCTGGCGCGTACGACAACACCACTTCGTGAGCTACAGAGGCGGCGTCGGCTGATGGCAGCGGCGATGTGTTCTGGGCGGCCAAGGGCAATTCGTCGGTCATGTACTTGAACGATGCTGGGCGGTTTATTTTGAAGGGTGAGTGCCGTAACCGTGGTAGAGGCAATGTACTGACGCGTCTCTTTTTCTACCTCGTGTCTCGCGCTCCGTCTCATATCCTACTCACCCCGCAGTCGACAACACCTCCTTCGTTCCGTGGAATGAGAAGCGCTATGCCCCCTCGCTCCTCACGGAGCGCGCGTACCCCATCGGCTCAGTCTTTGTGATGGACGCTGTTCACATGCCCTACGGGTGCAGCGTCTGGCCCGCATTTTGGACGCAGGGTGCGCAGTGGCCTGAAGGCGGCGAGATCGACATCATGGAAGGCGTGAATGGGCAAACGACGAACCAGATCGCGCTGCACTCGCACAACGACGGATGTTACGCGTCGTCAAGCGCGCAAATGACCGGCCAGCTGCGCTTGGACAACTGCTCCGTGACGTCGAACGGTGGGAGTGGGTGCACGGTGGGCGACAGCGACACACGGAGCTACGGCGAGGGCTTCGCGGCGGCCGGCGGCGGCGTATACGTCGCTGAATTCGCGGCGGACGCCATCCGCGTGTGGTTCAAGAGCCGCGCCGACGTGCCCGCCGCCATGAGCGGCGACGCCGCCACGATCGACACCAGCATCCTCGGCACCCCGACGGCAAGCTACCCGGCAAGCACGTGCGACATTGCCAAGTTCTTCGCGGACCAGATCCTCACCATCACCATCACGCTGTGCGGGTCATGGGCAGGCACGCAGAGCGTGCTCGAGTCCACATGCCCCGCGCTCATCGGGACCAACACGTGCTACACGACCTACGTGATTAACGACGCCAGTGAGACATACAAGAACGCATACTTTGAGCTCAACTACATCAACATCTACTCGACCGGCGTCGAGCCCAGCTCGAGCAACTCTACGGCCTCGGCCTCCCGCTCGGGGTCGAGCACCGCGCGTACTTCCGCCTCGCCAGGCGCAACCGGCACAAGCGGCGCCCGCCGCGCCCTCGACATGCCCATCCGCTTCGGCTGGGCGGCGGGCGTCGCCGCCGCTCTGGGCGGCGCCCTCACCTTTGTCCTCTAACCCATAGACTCTCCTTGACGACTTTCAACGCGGACTCTGTCGGCTCGGTGACGTGCGCTGTGCATAGTCTCTGTAGCCCATAGCCATTCACAGTATGCAAAGCTGTGTACATCAATCTATGTTACAATGTCATGCAGATATTACTCGAGCGGCTCAATGCATAGCGACTCGATGGCGCACCGCACCTCGTACTCCCAGTACTCGCGCACATCCCACCCGCCGGCGCGGTAGATCTTGTCGCGGTCCTCGCGGGCCTTGACGACGCCGGCGCGGCCGTCTGCGTATGCGTCCTTGAGGACGTACCACTCGGCCCACGGCGCCTTGTCAGGGTCATTGTACGGGATCGGGACGTATGGCCCGGCATAAGCTGGCGAGTTGGGCGAGTGCACCGGCCCGTCGTCTTTAGCCAGCAGCGCCAGGCTGGGCGGCACGGCGGCGGCGAGCGCCGCGGCGCGGTCGGCCTTCGCTTTGGCGTGCCGCTGCCGGATCTCCTGCGCGAGCGCCTCGCCGCCTTCCTGCCGCGACAGGGCGTCGACGATCTCGGCCTTGGCCTTCTCGTCCGCGGCGCGCTCGACGCGCTCGGCCTCCTCGATCATGCGCGCGCGCTCAGCCTTGGCGCGCTTCTCGACCTCGTCGCGCTCCGACGCCGACATGCTCTCCATCGCGGCCTTGTGCTTGTTCTTCGTGATCAAGCTCGCGTTCTCGCTCTGGTACGCGGCGATGCGGGCTTCCGTCTCAGCCACGTCGATGTCGTTTAGGAGGTTGAAGGCTGGTGTTAGCTACCAGACAGGCCGAGGGGCTCACTCATATCCTCCACATCTTGGAGGTAGTCGTCGTATGCCCGCTGCGTTGGGAAATCCTCCTCACGCTTGTTGTAGCTGGCGTTAGTTGTGCGGAGGCACACACTCACATGTCGTTCATGCGCCGCCGCACGCTAACCTCCTTCTCCACTTTGAGATCTTCGAATGTCTGATGTGCGAAGTTGACTTTACGTAGAACCTTGCCGCACTGCGGGCAGGGCTCCGGGCCAAGCGTGAACAGCCGGTCAATACACGACTCGCACCTGATGTCAGCGACGACCTTCTCCAAGCGCACATTTTGTGGTAGCATGGAGACACGAGCAGACGCAGGTTCTTGTTGAACTGCCTGTCCGTTTGGCATACGGGACACACGTCGTTCTCCGTCTGCTGTCAGCGTTTGTCTCGGTCATCGCATGCCTGAATGGGATAAGCCCCAGACTCACCCGATACTCGACCATGCGCTTACTGGCGTCCTTGACGCCCGCAACGTAAAGATACCCGTCGTCGTTCTTGGAGCCGGGGGTCACAATGCCGCGCGAGATGGCGCCTGGGCCGTGGTTTGTCGGCCGACGTATGGCGGACGCACCAGGTCGCTTGACCACATGTTGTGGACGACGCTGGACGGGGCGGGCTGACATGGTGAAGCGGTGATATGAGTCGCTCGGCCCCGCGCCGAAGAGCGTCTGTGTTGCGATGCGCGCTCTGCTCTTGCTGCAAGATAGAGGTAAGACGAGGGGAAAGGAGAGAGTGCAGCTGGAATCAGAGATGGAGGAGCGCAGGAGCATTATCAGCATCGTCATAATTCAGCTTCCGATCATGGATGAGCTTATCAATCTACCACGTGGCTGGGTAGTACAGGTGTAATTCCGCTTGATGCCGGAAAACTAGGAGGTGTACGAGTTGCACTGTGGGCTCATGGTGATCCTCGCATCCATCCCAACTCCATCTCCTCTTCGCTCTCTCTCACCACATCCCACAAAAGGCCCTCAGCTACACAGGCCTCACATTTTCTAGCGACAGCGATTTCTGAACCAGACGCTAGCCGACCGACTCATCCCCCCTCCCCACCTCCCTCCCCCCTTTCCCAGCGAGCCCAAGCTCGCCTCTCCCCTCCGCCCCCACCCCGCCCCCCGCCATGGCCACCACAATTCCCGCCGAAGCGGCAGCTCAGAACGAGAAGGTGCTCTCTGAAGCACTTGCTGCCACATCCATCTCAGACAAGGAGGAGAAGGAGGACAAGCCCGAGCTCGAGGAAGGCGAGATCGAAGAGGAGGAGGACGACGGCAAGCCCAAGACTGTGTTTGACGACGCTGCCCGTTTCAACCTCAAGCACCCTCTGTACGCGCCATGGACGCTTTACTTTGACTCGCCGCAGTCAAAGTTGACACCCAAGACGGAACAGACGTCTATCCCCAACGCATCGGCACACGGCGGGTGGCTCGACAACATGCGGCGCGTGATCACCTTTGACAGCGTCGAGGAGTTCTGGGGGCTGTACAACAACATTGTGCCGCCGAGCCAATTGCCCGGCAAGACTAACTACTACCTCTTCAAGGACGGTATTATCCCAGCGTGGGAGGATGCGCAGAACAAGAACGGTGGCAAGTGGGCCATCCAGGTGCCTCACGACAAGACCAAGTCCCAGATCGACCAGATGTGGCTGTACACTGTGAGTATGATGGTGGGAGTGCGGCGAGCGGGCATGGCGTAGCTTGATTGAGCGGCGCTCTTCGGCGCATGGAGATCTTGTTGTGTGCGGGGTGTGTGGATCGCTCGGCCGACCTCATTATCCTCCAAATCACATTCAATGACGCCGTATCCTGCGCTGTGAATGCAGGTGCTCGCCCCGAATCGCCTGAGGATCAGCTAACTCCCAGATGCTCGCAGCCATCGGTGAGACATTCGAGTCCGGGCTCGACGGCTCGGCCCCCGAGCGCTCCGACCTCGTCACCGGTGTGATCATGTCCTGCCGCCCCGGCTTGTAAGCCACCTTTCTTCTGCCTCTCTAACCTCAGCTACCGCATTGCGCTGTGGACACGCGACGCACCGGACGTGACGCTCGACGAGAACGACCCGCTCATGAAGCGCATCCTCGCCATCGGCCGCTACTTCAAGGTGGCCGTGCTCGGCTACGAACTGGACCAGAAGCTCGTCACGGGCGGCTACCAGACCGAACTGACGTTCGAGTCGCACAAGGACTCGGAGAAAAAGGGCAACAAGGTGGGATTGGGATGAGGGGGAGCGCTAACGACAGAACAAGATTGTTGTTTAAGAGCGGCGCCGCTTCAGCTCCATAGGCTAGTCTAGAGTAGGGGGCGCTGCCCCGTGTATCGAGTCGTGTGCATTATGCTATGCTAGTCGTTGCGTGGTGGATTGAGGCGTGAGGCAGTCGTATGTCATGACATTGAGCAGCGCACCATGCCGAGATGGCGCGAAAGTAGAAATCTTAGGGGTGGCTCAGATAGGGAGTGCTATGACGATCGTGCTGAACATGCATCCAACTTCGATCTTGTGCAACCTACGCGGACGATGGCAGGTGAGCTCACGGCGCATCACGGCCTCTGACAACAGACTTCCAAGCAATCCTCGACGAGGAGTTCGAGGTACGCGCCGCCGCGGCGCAGCTGACCGCAGGTGCTCGAGTCCATCTTCCCGGACGAGCTTGAGAGTGCGTCTTGCGTCTAGCGTCTCCCTCCTTCGCATCTAACACCAGAGCTCGGCCCCACACAGGTCCGGATCCGCGTCGAGCCCGAAGAGGAGGTGACGGGACATCCATGTGCGTTCCCCTCTCTTGGCCGCTGACAGCAGTATGCGCCGCCCTTGTCGTCTCGTATCCCCCCACATACCCCGACGTGATCCCCGACCTGGCGCTCGAAGAGACGGATGTGGGCGAACTGCGCGACGGCGAAGCGGACGCGGTGGTCGCGCAGCTTAATGGTGTTGTGGGTTTCGTTTCTCGCGTCTTCACGCTCCACCTTCTCGACCCCAGTGATATCACTGACGCAAGGCCGAAGAGTCTCTCGGCATGGCGATGACGTTCACGCTCGCGACGGCGGCGCGCGAGGCGCTCTCAGCACTCATCGTTGCGCGGCAAGTGCGCGAGAAGGAGGAGGACGATGCGCGGACGCGGGCGTACGAGGAGGTGAGTGGGGACTGCAGACGGAGGGGAGAGACTGAAGAGAAGAGGGGATGGGGAGAGGTCAGAAGGTGGGGGATGGGAAGCGAAGGAGGGACGGGATGAGAGGGATGGAGAGGAGAGAAGGACTCGCTCACACCAGGCCGAAGCCGCCAAGACCAAGGGCACGCCTGTGACGCGCGAGTCGTACGAGAAGTGGCGGACGGCGTTCTTGGCCGAGCTCGCGGCGCGCCGCACAAAGGATGAGGAGGAGCGGGTGCGCTCCCTCCCGGCCAAGGAGAGGGAGGAGGTCAAGCGCAAGATCGCGCGGCCGAGCGGTGAGTGCAGCGCGTGTGGATGCGTTGACATCAGGACGGCAGCTGTTCGAGACGTCCAAGGTGTCCGCGACGTCGGATGAGGCGCTGTACGAGGATGGCGAGGCCGTCGACATGTCCAAGTACACGCGCGAGGAGCGGGACCGTGCGCGCTGGGGCAGCGAGGACGAGGGCCGCGTCAAGCTCGACGAGAGCGACTCGGAGTAACCCTATAGATGCATCTTCTATGTCATATGCATTGGCTCTGCGCGAGCTCCTCTAGTCCGAGTCGGAGAGTATCTCCTCGTCGCTGCTCTCGCCGGCCAGGCTCGCGCGCTCACTCTCGCACCATCCGCTCCCCTCAAACTTCTCCGCGAAGAGCGCGCCGCCAGCACTCTTGATCTGCTCCCATATCGGCTCGCCGCCAGTCTCGACGAGCTCGATCTCGCGGCGCGGGAACGACGTCACGAGTCGGAAGCCCCAAGCGTGCTCGTATCCCTCGGGCGGGGAGTCTGGGTCCCTTGCGGGATCATCCTCGGGCGGGATAAGCAGCGTCTCGGCGTAAATAAAGAGCGGAAGCGTAGATGGGCCCGGCGTGAACTGCCGCACGTTGCGGTCGGAGTTGAGTGGCGTGCGCAGCGCCACCCGCGTCGGCCCAGCATTGGGAGGAAGCAGGTGTTTGCGCGCGTAGCGGCGCCACTCTCTCCGATCGGCAACCGCCTTCTCCTTAAGCTCCTTCTCGCGCTCGGCGCGCTCGCGCTGCACGCGCTCGAGCTCGGCCTGAGCACGCGCGGCGTGTAGTCTTTCGCGGTCCTTGCGCTCCGCCTCACGGAGAGCGCGGTCCTGTTCCTCCCGCAGGTGACGCGTTTCCTCGAGCGCAAGGCGCTCACGGCGCAGGCGTGCGAGGAAGGTTGTGGTACGGGGCAGCACTGCGGTCGTCAGTGTCTGGAGGATTGCAGAGGTGGATGTGGTTGTGGAGGGCGGGCCCTGCAGTGTCGTGAGGATCGTCAGGCGCGGCGTGCCGCCACCGCCTGTTGCCGAGGAGGTCGGGAGAAGCGAAACAAATGTAAGCGACGGATAAGTAGTCACTTGGAGGGTCTCGGAAACCATGAATCCCTCGCGAGTGGAGATGTCGGCAGCCCAGACGGCGATGTCATGCTCCTTGAGCGCCTTAGTGAGGTCTGGGTCGGCGAGGACGTCGCGCTTAAATTCGGAGTCGTCGTCATGCTCGCTGCTCACGAGGATTATGAGACCGACACGGCCCTCGCGGCGCACGTTGGAGAGGAAATCGCGATAAGAACCGATGTAGAAGTCTGGCAGGGAGGCAGTTGCGGGCGACGCGCCAGTAAGCGCCTCGAGCTCGCGCACGAAGCGGAGAGCGTTTGTGGCGGGGTCTCTGGGCCCAGATGGTGGCGCTCGACTAGGAGGGGGAAGGAGAAAGCGCGGGAGATGAGGTAGCAACGAGAGAGGGACAAATGTACGGACTGGGTTAGTGCATACGAGTGAGACGGGCTCACTGAAGAAGTACCACGCGCCGGTAAGGATGGAGGCAATAAAGGAGAACGGCCATGCAAAAGTGTCCCATAGTCCGAGGCCTGCCTGGCCTGGTCGAGGCCGCCGTCCCGAGATGCGGCGCGACCCAGGCCGTGGAGGTATGGGGGCGAGGTCATCTTCGAGGCCTTCAGTAGCTTCCTTTCGCGATGGGCCAGCATCGGTCGGCGCAGTGCTACCGGTACCGCCGCCGCCACCAAAGATCTGGTCTATTGCGCGCTACTGTGAGCTAGAGCAAGACAAAGGAGACGGCAGGAACCGACCTGGATGTCCCAATTGTGTTCACGGAGGATGCGCTCATCGCGTGCGCGTGCAGCATCTGTCTCTGATGCAGTGATAGCCCATAGCTGTTGAAGGGCGTCTGTCTGCGCTGGTGAGCGAGACATGATCGAAGCCGAGAGGGTGGGAGTGAGATGGAGAATGGAATGAAGATGAACAAGAGATGGCTGTGGCTGGCGGCTGCTGGCGGCCATCACCAAGCAGTGAGTGACGTTGCGGCTTGAGTCGTGGCACGTGACTGACGCGTGGCTGCATACGCGGGCCTCAAATGCAACAATATCCTCATTCCATGTCTCTTACGCCGCGACACCAAAGCATCAGCATTGCGATGTTGAGCCCCCAGGCCTCCAGAAACGCGGTCTCGGCATACATGGACTTCTGGTGCTACTGCCTCACCAGCGTGGCGTTCCAGGCTGCTTCTTGGCCTCCACAACCATGTCCGGCTCGAACTCTTCCAAGATTCCGTGCCCGACAAACTGTGTACATGTATCCGGAGCCAGTGCGGTTGCGGAAGGCATGTCTGCTCGTTCCCACATCTGCGTGCCTGCTCTATCTCTTCTCTGGGGCTACGCCGTTGTCAGAAATTAATGGATGAGCGTCTTACGGCCTGCTGGCCGGGCCGGTCATGCCAGTCTTTGCCGACCCCAATTGATGTAAGATAAGATGATCATGCTGCCGCAGGTTCCACCAGTTTCTGTGCAGACAAAGCCGAGCAACACGGCAGCCTTGCGGCTCAGTACCTCTCCGCCTCACCCCCAGCGTTGTGAGCAGTGAGTCGCCTGCCCACCGCGCACCGGTACGCATCGGGGAAGAGACGGGCGCGTTCGTCTTATCCTGTGAGTAGTCACCCACTCTTCATTCACAGTCGCCCCAGGCAAGGACGGCACGATTAGCTACTGGGCCGTGGATTGAACGCGCGACGAGACCTCGCTCACAAGGTCGTAACACCACATGGTGGCGCTGAAGACGGCCGCGACGTACACGAGCTGACGTCACTCAGCACAATTGAGGTTGATTGCTGGACGTCTCGGTCGACGACGATGTGACCGAACGCAATCACCTTCAACGCGCAGCTGACATGCCGCTGAACAACACGGACAGAACTAGCGCTTTCTGGTGCATCGTCAGACTTGCATTCTCCCATGTCGTTGAGGCATCCCATTGCCATAAATAACCTCGCATCCAGTGCTCTTCCCAGTGCTCGACACTTGCTCACCACCACCCGCCTGACGCTCCGACCTGCCGCGCAGCACTACTTCAGCACCTCCCGATCCCTCAACATGGACCCCAAGCCCATCACCAACACGCCTACTCCCCTGAGCTTCCGGGGGGCGTCGGGCAAGCCCGGTCTCCCGAAGATGAAGGGGAAGCGGATCCTGGTGATCGGTGGCTCTGGCGGCGTGGGATCCCACCTCGTGGACCGGTACGCGCAAGCGGGCGCGCACGTAATCATCGCGAGCCGCACGCCCGAGAAGGCGAGCGCGGCGCTCAAAGCCGCGCAAGCGCGCAACCCCGGCACGGACATCTCCAGCATGGCGGGAGACACAACCACGTTCGCGGGTGCCAAGGCGTTCGCGGACACGGTATCTGCGACAGGGCAGGTCGACCACGTCGCGCTCGCCGTCGGCGGCTGGTGGTCGGGCGCGACGCTGTGGGATGTGCCCCCGCACGTCGTTGACACGTTCTTCACAGGCGTGCCCACCGCCTACCTTGCCAACCTGCAGGCGTGGGCGCCACGCCTGCTGCGCGGCCATGCTATGATTTGGATCCTCGGCGGGAGCGGATACAACCCCGTGCCAGGCTCGGGGCCGGTGTGCATGGGCTCGGCGAGCTTGTTCATGGCGCAGAGCGTGGTCGAGCGTGAAATCGCCATGACGGGCGCGCCGTTCCGCCTCTTTTCCCTCGCGAACGGGCCACTCAATACGCGCCAGCGCGGAGCTCTCCACAGCAGCCCGAGCTTCCCGGACGCAGACGAGGTCGCTGACCTCTCACTCGCACTTATGGAGCGCCAGGACGTGCTCAGTCACGGCCTCACTCTGCGTAATCGCGACCACATTAAGATGTACTACGACCAGCTCGGCCTCACTCCGCACCGGTAAAGGATGGCAGAATGGAGAGATTGTCCGCCGGAGAATGTATCTGAATGAGCTGCAGACTTGGCGTTGAATAGCTCATATCTTTCTCACTCGAGCTCAGACTTGGCGTTGAATAGCTCATATCTTTCTCACTCGCAAGCTTGTGTCAGCGTCATCGCGGGCCGATTTCCATGTTCCTGCTTCTGCAAACTGTAAATCCACCTTGGTTCAGGTACTTGAGCAGGCCAGCAGGGGTACGGTGCGGCACAGTATATCCAGTACTGCTTCTGAAACATCTCATTTCAACGAACAAGAATTAACCCATACGTACTTCTGCGAACACTCCCTACAAACTGAATGCTCATTTCACTCCCCACTCCTCCTTACACCGTGTTTTAAATGTGGAAACTCTCGAAATTCGACGAAAGGATCTGCTCCGAGTCGGTGCGGAAGTCGTCGATCATGGGCTGGAAGTGGTGGGCGTAGAACTGGATGAGCTTCTTGGTGCCCCTCTCCCACTGTGGCCAGTTGTCGATGACGCGGGACAGACGGTTCGTGCCGCCCGAGTAGTTGTTGGGGTCGAGGTCTGGGTTTCAGCACGGTTTCACACACGTCTTTCCCGTCCTCAGCCTCACTGTAGACAAAGTTGCTGTAGTATGCCTGGATGTCGCGGGACGCCTTGTTGGGGAGGATGCCGAAGAAGACCTGCAGGAGGTCCGAGCCGTGGAAAGTGCCGAGGATGGGAGTGCCGTAGTTGTAGCTAGCAATGTACGACCATGCAGGGACGGAGGGGTTGACGGTCTTGGCGATGTCAAGGAAAATGCGGCGGGTGATAGTGAAAACAAGGTCGCCGAGAATGGCGGCAAGGCGCTTGAAGCCCTTGTAGACCTCGTTGAGGGGGCCGGTGCGGAAGGGCGAGCCTTCGGCTGGCACGTCCTCGTACGTCTCGACGAGGGCAGTGAGGGTGGCCTCGGAGGCGCCGTTGAAGAACAGGTCCTTGAGGTAGCGGACGATCATGGGCGTCGTCTCAGTCGTGTTGGCCTGGAAGAGGGAGAAGAGCGTGCCCTCGTCCTCCTGGTCGCCGATGATCATGGGGACGGCCGCGTACCGGCCCTTGAGGAGAAGCTGCTGCGGGCTCTCAGGCATAAAGCTGCCGTCGGGACGGGGCAGGTACGAAAGAGCGACTGAGGTGTAGGACAGGATGGCGGGCACCGAGTTGGCGGCCTCGGTGAACTGGTCAAGCGGGAGCTGGCGGAGGCACGCGAGCGAGTCGGGGCCGCTGCAGCCCGCCTTCTCGACCACGGCATCGTAGATGGCCTGGCCCTTGGGGCAATCGACAGGGTCGGCGGGGATGATCGAGCCCGAGTTCATGATGGCGCCGCGGAACAGCGGCTTGCCCTTGTACTCGATGTTGCCGCCATACGCCGTCATCTGGTTCCACACGCTGATGGCGCCCGCCGACTCGCCCCAAATTGTGACGCGCGACGGGTCACCGCCGAAGGCGGCAATGTTGTCCGCAACCCACTCGAGGCCCATGCGCTGGTCGAGGAGGCCGAGGTTGCCGGCGCCATCAGCGAGGATCTCCTTACCGGGCATGAAGCCCCACGCGCCGACACGGTAGTTGACAGCGACAAAGACGTAAGGCTTGCCGTTGAGAGCCGCGTTCTGGACCAGGCCGCCGCCGTCGTACATCGAGCTCCAGCCAAGCTGAGATTAGTCGACTTCAAAGGAAGGATGCAGCTTCACCTCAAACCCCCCTCCGTAGATCCAGAAGAGGACGGGGAGGTTGTCGCCGGCCTTTGTACCACGGGGACGGATGACGTTAACGGAGAGGCAGTCTTCACTGATCTTGAGGGCCCTCTGGAAGAGGGCGGTGCGCGAGACAGTGCTCATGACCTGCGCGAGGAGGCCCGAGTCGTCCGAGTCGGCCAGGAACTGGGGGCACGCCGCTGCAGCCTTGGTGGCATCGAAGTTGTTCAGAGGCGACGAGATGCGCTGAGGTGGGCGCAGGCGTAAGTTGGAGATGGGCGGCGCGGCGTAGGGGATGCCATTGAAGTCATCCGTCAGCAGACCCCTCTTGCCGACGATGGTGCCGGCAGGCGCAGAAACAGCTGGTGTTAGAGCGAGGCTATGAGACACATACTAATGGTAAGGGCTCGCTCGTCGAGGTGGCTGTCGTCGACGACCGGAGCCGGCGCCGCGAGAGCACCCAGGATTGAAGTGAGTGTGAGGAGGGTGCTGAACACCTTCATGGTCGACGCGAGGAGGGGGGTAAGGCTGGATGTCTCACAGTGTCTATCCTCCACACCGGTCTTAAGTAGACAAGCAGACCGGACTTGCTGTCGCAGGACCTAGGCTGCGATTCCGGCAAACCAGTCAACATGCCCAACAAGCGCCACATGCGACACGCCTAACAGCACAACCACGCTAGTCAACCTTGTTGAGTGTCTTCCGCTCTGTCAGATGAAACGCGCACCCTGCAGCATTCACAACTCTATTGACCCGCAGGGCTCACGGCATTTGCGGCACAGGAACGACCCGAGCGTTCCGAAGCATGTGGGCTGCACGACATATGAGCGGGGAGGAGATACCGTGTCAGCTGGTCAGCTCAACGGCATCTGCGATCGTGTGATCACAAGTGGGCTTGTCACTGGAGCGTGGGGCATGTTTGAGGCGCGTGGAGCACCAGGAAAGGGCCCACGCACGCGTTTCGGGCTTCGGACGCGTCGTGCGACCATGATGATTGGCCAGCTGCGCGCTCACTTGGCATGTGAGATGTCATCAGCCGCCACAAAATTATACCGCGTCGACAATTCATGCTGTGAATGGCAGATGGGGGCCGATGACAAAGACCAGTCCGTGCGCGCCCACGGGGCACCTTCGGGGTGTCGAGTGCATCCATCGAGCGCTAATTGCTTGTCGGCCGCCGCAGCCACCCTATGGCTGCCGTTGTGTGGGAAGGTGTGAGGTGCAGTGCCGTGAGCAGCATGCGGTGGGCAGAAACCGAAAGCTCGAGCTTCTGGCATGGCGTCAGACTACAATCTGCATGTGACCTTGTGCGTCGGGTATGCGTCGGAACACGGAGTCCATGATAACGGCGAACACCGGGGAGGGCTTTAAAGACCGTGTTGAGTGTGTCGGGCAGGCCGTCAGCGAAGAGAGCAGTTTCCAGGTGAAAGCGATCTCGATTTGTCCCACTTCTCCTCAACCGCTCCTTGACCCCGATGTATCTAGCCTCACCTCGGGTGAGGATTTCGGCGGTTCTTCCCTTTCAACAGCGGCCAGGCAGATCAGTGAGCCTTCGTCGTATGGGTAGCTGGACGATGACAGATCGCGGAATGCCAACGAATATCCAGAAGCTTGGTCAACGAGCTGCGTCATCCTGGCCCGTCTCGGACAACTTTATCTGAGTTGATGCTGTGGACTGAGACGCTGCCGTACCACGCCAGCACGAGCGAGCAGTTGCTGTTTCCAGTCTGGATTCGTTTCAGCGAACTGTTAACTTTGCTTGTGGGCACGACCAGCAAATGTCTTACCTGTCCTAATCTCCTTGCGACAGAGATTAGGTATGGCATACATTACTACTATCGTCGTTATCTGCAGCTGATCGGTCAACATGTTGGACGCGGAATATGCGCTTCTTCCGTCGCAGCTGTCAATGCAGCTCTCAGTCGTCCCCAGGTGGTCAGCACTCGAGCCTGTCACTGTCAGCGGTGCGCTGTGCTGCGGACTGCTGAGGACCCAAAGGTTCCCACGCACTCGGCCCATCGATATATCCGGACGGGATGTAGAAGGAACTGACACTTGAGCGGAGTTTCATGCGTCACTGCTGTCGCCGTCACATTTTCACGCCGAGCCTCACATCTCGCCTCGCCGGCCTCGAATATCCCCGACTCCGCCTGCGCCACCGTTCAACTCTAAATGCGCCGCGGACTTCCGCCATGTCCAAGGCCCGCCCATCTCAGTCTCACGTCAGGCCAAGCAGTCGATCAGCTCATGTCCGCGCGTAAGCCACGCCCTGAACGCCTCGAGGCGCGGTGTCGCTAAAGTAGGTGATGCCTTCGCACGTTGAGCGTGAATGTCGGTGCCGTCCTGCAAGTGCTCGCGAAGAGGCGCCGCGAGGCACGACCCGGTAGTGGGGGTGGGAACGACGTTTGCGCCAAAGAAGTAGGGCTGTCATTCTTCCGTTATGAGAGCGCACAATCGCGACATCGCAGCGAGACAGCCCAAATTGACAAATTAACGGAAACGCGACGAGAGCTGCATAAGAAAGCACGGATGAGATACACAGGGCAGAGGGGCGTCTTGGTCGATCTGCAATCTCAATGTACGCAGTCATATCAAGCTCCATCTCCCATTTCACCCTCTTTTGGCCGCCCTTGAATATAGGCGCCACCACCCGCCCTGCTGCCAAGTTTGCGCCTGCATGCAGACCTAGTGCTCAGTTGCGCGCAGGCCTAGATCTGCAGGTTTTGCAGGCCAGCGCAGTTTGACGCACCTCGAGGTCGTCCATGCACCACCTCGCAGGCCGCCCAAGAACTCCGACGTGATGGGCTCAGGGCCGCAGTGCCTAGGACGCGAGGCAACCAAGAATCTTCCGAGGATCCGAACAACTTGACGCATTCGAAGGAGTTGACATCAACACCTCAGCCTCCTCGCTGCTCTCTCCAGCCGTGATCCGACTCAATTCCAAAGACACCCCCTTCTCGCCCCCTTCTGCTTCGGTGTGGCGTCGTGGCGTTCTTTACCCAATTTGGCAGGAAACTGGCTTACAACGCGGCTGATGGCTGCGATGGCTGACGACGCTGACTTCCGCGGCTCGAGCGTGTGAACCCAGGCTTCCGAACAAGACCCGGCGACGGGCAAATGCGCCGTCGCGCGCACTCAACACTCTCATCCCACTCTCCCCTACCAGCGCCAGCATGAAAGGCAAAGCCCCAGCCTGGAGCATGAGCAGCGCCCGAGCGTCTTACACTCTCGTTGCTTTGCCCAAGCGCAAAACACTCGTGTGCAATACTTAACCGTGGCTCCGGCCCGCAGTGTCCCCCGCCAAGGCAAGAATTTTAACATGTTCACAGTCCTCGCCCCCCTGTTTATATTCGCATCTCTTGCGTCGTCGGCGTGCATTCCCGCGGGCGGGAACACGAACACGGCGACGCCGCCGAAGACGACGAGCACGACGCCGCCGCAGACCCCGGCGCCGGCCCCGGTGTCGGGATCCGTCCGCTTCCACCCGAACGGCGACAAGAACTGGTGCCTCGAGGTGCAGGGCAACAAGCGGGCGAACGGCACCCCCGTCCAGCTTGCGCCGTGCACAGCGAACAACGGCGCCCAGGCGTGGACGGTCAGCCGCGGCAGCACGCAGGTCAAGTTGGCAGGCACCAACTTCTGCCTCGATGCTGGGTCGAGTGAGTTGCGGTCGCGGCGCCAATCGATAAAGCTAACGCCAAGCTCCGGGGAACGGCGTCCGCAGCAAGATTTGGACGTGCTACGCCGGCCTCGCGGCGCAGAGGTGGTGGTACACGGATGACAACCGCGTCGCGCTCGAGGGCAAGGGGCAATGCATCGACCTGCCCAGCGGCGAGAAGAGGACCGGTAATGTCGTGCAGACGTGGCAGTGTGGGACCGGGAACAACAACCAGGCGTGGACGACGTCGCAGGCGACCGTGGCGCGCCGCGCCCTGGATGAGCGTCAGTCATGCCCCTTGCCCAACGTGAGTCAGCATCGGTTTGGATGATTGCTGACCTCAAGAAAGCCCCTCTCACGCCAGGCGGACGCAAGGCAGGTCTTGCGGGCGGCGAGGGGTACGACGAGATGAAGGACCTCATTGGGTGGTGGTACGACTGGTCCGGCAAGCCCTCGGGCCACAGCGGCGCACCCATCGCCGTGCCCATGCTCTGGGGCAACGGGCACCGTGGCAGCCTGCAGAATGATGCAGCCCGCTTTGCGCAGTTCACGAGCACATGGTCAGCGTCCAACGCACCGCCCTACGTGCTCGGCTTCAACGAGCCGGACTGCGCGAGCGGCGAGAGCGCGAGCATGTCGGTTGGCGACAGCGTGTGGGCGTGGAACAAGTATATTGCCCCGCTGGCGCAGGGCAACTCGCGCCTCATCTCGCCTGCCATGTGCGCGCAGCTGCATGAGTCGTTCCTCAAGCCGTTCTCGGACCAGATCTCGACGCCGTTCGATATCGTCGCCGTCCACATTTACAAGCCGGACATCGCGCAGCTCAAGGCCGTCCTCGACTACTTCTGGAACAAGTACAACAAGCCGATGTGGGTCACCGAGTGGGGCTGCGTGCACGACCAGAATGGTTTCCAGCCGTGCTGGGACCAGGGGCAGAACGCACAGTTCATGAGGGACGCCGTCCGCACGTTCCAGGCCGACAGCCGCGTGTACGCGTACGCGCCGTGCAACGTACATCCCAACTGGGTCGTCTCCTCGGGCGGCAAGCTCACCGAGCTCGGCAGGGTGTACCGCGACGCCGTGCGTCAGTACGCCTAAGCAGTGGCTATATTTTTTGTAATTGATGAAGAGAGGCGTGGGCGGATGTGCGCTGGACGTGACCGCTCCCCTCCACCTGCGCTGCATATGCCGCTAGCGGTCACTGGTCAGTACATGAGCGTGGTCCGTCAGTGCTCCTCATGGTATGGCTGGCAAGATAACAGACGTGTGTACAACGTTAAACTACTGGGCGTGAGCACAGGCCTCGTCGTACGGTCGCACATAACAAGCTTACACCAAATAACCTTCTCACATACGCTGGATGTAATTGCTTGGGAACAGCCCCGATTTCGGCAGAGGCGTCGAGTGGCCCTTGGGGATCGTGCGTCCGCGGAGCCACTCGTCATTAACTTCTTCGTCAATGACGACGGTGTCGCCCTCCTTAAATGCGAGATCGTCCGCATCACCGCCCTGTCCGTAATCCCACAGCGCCGTGGCACGGATCTCGGTAGGTGGAGCGGGCGGCACGCGGGCGGCGCCACGCGCGGGCGCAGGCTTCGGCACGGCATACCCTGCGTCGGCAGTGCCTTCCAAAGCGGCTGCAGCGGTGCGAGCAGCTTCAGGCGTAATCTGGCCGACAGTCTCGAGGAGTTTGATCGAGTCGAGGACGTGCGAGAGCAGCTGCGGGCCAAACGTCTCCATGTTCGTGCCGGCGGCGGGACGGACCGGCGCAGATGCACGCGCTGGTCCCCCGGCGCGCGCAGGCGCCGGGGCCGCCCGGCCACCCCAACTGGCCGAGCTTCTCCGCGGCGCCGGGGCTGGTGGCGGCGCCTTGTCATCGCCGCCAGGCGTGGCGCTCAAGTCGGTGGGCAAAGGCTCCTTCTTGTACGACTTGACGAAGTTTGATCCGCCGTTGTAGACGTTGTCCACAACCTTGGAGGGGATAGGGATCAGGAAGCCGACCATGGTGAATGCCTGTGGAGAGGATGGATGGGCAAGAGAGAGAAGAGCCAAGGGGACGAGCGATATGACGGAGATGAGGCTGGGATGGCTCGCTTGAGTATTGCCAAGGAATTGGTGCCTGGCCCCACACTCCATTGGTCTCCCCATCTTGCACTGGAACCAAACATACTTTTGCCTTCGTCGGCATGAGACATGTGCGGGTCTAGCCAGTGAGAAAATGGTGTAAGGCTCCAACAGAGGAAGGGAACGCATGGAGCGCTGTTCTTCCCGGTGGAAAGCGAAGGTGACCCAAAGTGGCAGATGACGTTCCCTTGGCGCCACTGATGCTTGACTGAAGCAGCTCCGTCTAACAATTTGCTTGCACGAAGAAGCAGCCCGGATGATCTTGACAACAGATGGCACCCCGTAGTAGCGCTTAGACATAGTCAAGTTGGCGTGGCCTTTGGAAATGGGCGTGTCGACGATGTGGTGATGCGGCGTGGCTCTGGAGGCGGCGGTGAGCCACAAACGGTCGAGTTGATCATTGGATTCGGCTCAACATCTCCTGCGCAAAGTCCCTGCCAGTGCAATGTAGTGTACATCACTTCTATACATGAATATGTCATCTGCTGTGGTCGTCTCCTCCACTGCGACCTGAACCCGCCAGACCCTGCTCCCCCATCAGAACACACTCCTCTACTGTACCACGTTCCGCCCACACATCCTCCGCTTACAGCATGTAGCGGAAGTACGGAGAGCGGTCGCCAAGCTGTGCGAGCTCCTTTGGTGTGTACTTCGCGTCAATCTCCTCCTTGGTGTAGTTGTCGCGCTTCGCGTTGATGCGCTTGTACGCGACCTCGAGCACACCTGCGCCAATGACACCAGCGACAGCGAAACCGAGAGATCCAGCGTACCCAGTAGTGAAGTGGGGCTTCTCGCTGTCGAGGAAAATGTAGCCGCCGATAATACCGCCGACATTGCAGAGGGAAATAACAAAGGCGACGCTCATTGCGCGCTTGGCGGGGCCTGCAGTGTTGTTCGCGCACCAGGTGTTGGTCTGCAGGTCAGTATGTGTGTCTGGCTGGAATTAGAAAAAAACTCACCCCTGGCCCGATGGGGTAGACACCAGCACAGATCAGGCAGATTGACAGATAGGCTGGACCCATATACTTTTTGATGTCGTGACGGAGAGGCATGATGATAACAAGGGCGACGATGATGACAAATTGAGCCACCATGATAAAGGGCATACGCTTGCGGAAGCGGTCGGAGAAGAGACCGGCAATGCAGGCAGTGATGGCACCGACGATGTAGGGTGGGACCGAGAGGAGCTGGGCGTCGGATGACGAGTAACCCATAGCCTTGATGATCGTGGGCATGGCGAACTTGAGGGCATAGTTGGGAACAGTGTTTGACCAGTAGACGATGCCGAGGAGGTAGAGCTGCCAGTCGGTGACGACAGCCTTGAAAACCTTCCACTTGCTGACGTCTGTACTGTCGTGCTGTCCCGAGTGCGCAGACTTGTCCTGAGCGCCGGCAACGATTGCCATGTACTTCTTCTCCTCCTCGGTGAGGAACTTGGAGTTGGAGGCGTGGTCCGGCAGAATGAAGGGCACCATAAGGCCGAGCACGACGGTCGCGGCACCCTCGAGCAAGAAAATCCAGCGCCAAGCGGCAATGCCTCCGACGCCCTTGAGCTTAGCGATGGCGTACGCGAGGAGACCGGAGAATGCGCCGGCAAGCGCGCTGGCGGTGTAGAAGAGGGCGATGCGCGAGTTGAGCATGTGCCGGGGGTACCAGAGCGAGCAGAGGTAAACTGCACCGGGGAAGAAGCCGGCCTCGGGAACACCGAGGGCGAGGCGGACAGCGAGTAAGCCGCCGTAGTTCTGCACAATACCGTGCAGGGTCATGGCGGTGCCCCAGAGAACGGCCAGGCCACCAAGCCACCATGACGGGCGCGCGCGGAAATAGCGCTCCAGAATGATGTTGGCAGAATCTCGAAGAGAATGTACGTGACGAAAAAGATGCTCTGCGCCGTATTGTACTTTGTGCCATCGAGCTTGAGGTCCTCAGTGAGTCCCTCGATTTTGGCATTACCGATGTTTGCTCGGTCTGAAGATGAGAGGGGCGAGGAATGGGACAGGGGCCGGCGACAAGGCAGAGAGAATGGCGTCAGTGACACGCACAACTGCCCGAGGCTTCGCGCCAGCATTAAAACTCACCAATATAGGCGAACAGATACAGAAGAGCCAGCATGGGGAGCAAACGAACGTCGATCTTGCGGTACATTTTCTTTTGCTTGGCCTCGTCAAAGGTGGCGAGGAACTCCTCCTCCTCAGCGGTGTAGATGCCCTTCTTCACCGCCGATTCCTCCCCATTTGGAAGCATGACGACATCCTCGACATACACGTTTTCCTGCTTCTTCTCGAGGTCGGCCTCGAAGGACACTTGGTCGTTGCTTGTGCGCTTTGGAGCCATGGTGTGCGATGAGGTAGGTCAGGCGTTCCGAACGAGCGCTGTAACTGAAGGAGCAACCACACAGGTCTCTTATACCACTCGCGCCCAACAACAGCACAACCACGTCCTCACCTCTGGTTGCTCCAGCCGCTCACGCGCAGATCATCTCGGGCACAGGGACCCCCACGACGTCGCCAAGCCGACCCCATGTCGCCCCACAACCCCCCCGAAAACCGAGGGGATGGCGTCTGTTTCTCGGGCTCAATGCCTGAGCGCTTGCCTATTCGCGCCCACCATGAAGACTCGGCGGCGAGCTTAAGCCATTGACGTTGAGCGCACAAGCGGCATCGCATCGCTCCGGGGCTGGAAGACTGTCCCGAGAGACCGATCGGACACGAGAGCGGAGCGATTGGCTCCTCATGCCGCCGATGGATTGGTATAACCGCGGCTGGTATGGGAGAAATACGTCAGAGAGTCTTGGCATCCGACTATAACTGGCGGTGAATGGCTAGGCGGCTAGTGCGTCGCAACGAGGTCGTATAATGGAGTAAGACCATGTGCTCCACACCCCCGCTGCGGGCACGCGTGCCTAGGCTGTTAAATTGGATCATGGCGTGCTGCTGTTCCTCTTGCGAACTCCCATATGGTCTGCAGCGCGTAACTGTCCCACACCCGTTCACCAGATCGGAATCATCCCGGATGAGCCCCCAACGGTCCAGTGGCGCGAGGAATCGCAAATGAGGGGGACCCATGGGTCCATGTGCCCACCCAACGCAAGATTGTCTCGACACGTGCCTGCACTTGGCACCGAGCTTAATCACCGATCTTAGGCGGTAAAAGGCGGGAAGCGGCGGAGCTTCGGTGAACTTGGCTCCAGGTCGCCGCCCCTCCGTGCGCGCCGCTCCGGCAATCCGGAGTTCGGGACCCTCCTACAGCCACGATTGGATAGCCAGCAGTCGTCAGCCCCGAGCAGCGGCAGGCACATCCAACCCAGCGTCGCAGCGACCGCGCAGCGGGCGAGCACACCCGCCAGTTAACAAGAGGTTGTCCACTAGAAGCGCAGAGTGACCGCGGCGGGCCTTCTCGCGGAGATTGAAGCGAGCTCAATACCGTCGCCACCGATGGTGCCAAGAGCCATGGAGCTCCGCCTTGCGCCGCCAATGGCGCGGGGCACCCAACGGAGCGATCCTGCGGGGTCGCATGTCGATCTGTAGCCGACTGTTAGATTACGGCCCCGTGATACACACAGACTTCCATTTCCCCGACAGCTGATTGCACATGCTCTCAGAAATAACCCCCTCGCTAAGCAGAAGCACACGTGCGTTGGCTCGTCCAACAATCAGTGGCCATACGGCGTGTAAGTGCGTATGTACGATCTGTCTCAGTGGCATGTGACCGAGATCCCCCACTCCAACATTGTTTACGCCGAAGCGCTGACACGCGACTTTCGGCGGCATGCACAAAAGTTCGACCGCGGGTCCGACCGCTTAGCGTGGCCGTCGATACCTCCGGCCATTTAAGTGTGGAATGTCATGTGCCGCGCATGTATGCTTCAAGGCGGGACTCACCGCAATCAAGGTGAGATGAGCTTGGCAAATTGGCAGGATGCTGATAGATGACAAACGCTTGGGACGTGGTAGGACCGAGAGGTGCAGTGCGTTGCTGTAGTTTGAGCACTCCTCGTCATCTCCCGCGGTGCAGATTCTTCCCGTAGGGCAATTCTCACCGTAGGGCAATTCTCACCCAACGCGGGCAAGGAAGGTATCCCCCAAAGGATAGTCAGTTCAGTCCCATGGCCTTTCCAAGATGCGAGCAACTCGCCAAATTGCAAGCACAAGGATGTTCCCACGACACGGAGCTGATTGATGTGCCCTATATTGCCAGCTCGGATCCATGCCAGGCGGGGTGTGACTTCGGCGCATGCAGACCGAGAGCAAAGGAGAATGCAGTTTTAAAGCAGCCCTTCAACGATCTTTGTCACAAACGGTGTTGTATGAATGCCACTGCCTTGCCGTAGGCGAAGAATTCTGAATTGAAAATGAGGTTATTTCAAGCGGTGAACTGTGCTATCGGAACCACTGTAGTAGTGAAGAAATAACGTAAACCCCTGCCACAACCCCCGATCTCACAAACACAACTTCGGTCAGGGACAGGTCGGTGCATAGTGCCACCACAAATCTATCTGACACTGGCGAGGCCAGTAAAGGCCCGTCGATAATAATAAGAGTCCGTTCGACTTCCCGCCGGGCCAGCACCATGAAGGGACGATTAAGGCGTTTAGCACGACATGCCGTTAAGGCTGCCGATGTTGAGCGCGCCGAAGAGGTTGCTGAGGGTGGAAGGGAACCAGCCGAGGACGGCGCCGGACATGGCGCAGCCGACGCTCTGGATGGTGCCGGCGCCGTTGCCGCCGAGGAAGCCTCCAGCAAAGAAGCCACCGAGCGAGGAGAAGTCGGGAATGGGGATGAAAAGGCCCTTGATGCCGAGCGACCAGCCGGGCGAGGTGGGCTTGAGGCCGTTGATGAGGAGAGCCCAAGCGACAATCTCGACGACAGTCATCGGGATCTTGCGCTTCGACCATCCGGGAGGGAAGCGCTCAAGGACGAACCAGTGGTAGGCCATGTCCTTGGTGAACTTGATGTTGTCACCGCGGAGGTTCTCCATGACGAAGCCCGACTCGCCGTAGGCGACGAGCATGCGCCAGGGGTTGAAGTCGAAGCGCGGGTTGTTCTTGCGCGAGTAGGCCCAGGCGCGGTAGCGGGACTGGGCGAGCTGGTAGGGGGTGACGTCGCCGCCGCCGTACTGGTCCATCTCCTGAATAAACTGGTTGAAGCGGCCCGAGTCGAGGTCCCACTGGTTGCCAAGGTGAGCGTCCTGGCGAGTGACGGAGGCATCGCCCTCGAGGACACCGTGGCCGGCAAGACCGTCGCCGAGACCGTTGCGGGTGCCGATGGAAAGCTCAAGCTTGGTCATGTCACCCTTGAAGAGGAACGAGAGTGTGCCGAGGACAGCGCAGAGGTCGGGGGAGAGCGAGAGAGCCTGGAAAGTACCGACGAAGAGCTGAACGGGGTTCACGAGACCGTTGCGGGGGATGTAGCCGTGGTTAGCGGCGGTGTTGAGACCGGGGCAGGGGCCACGGAAGTCACCGGGGCCGGGAGCGATCCAGGGGTGGTCAGCGTCCTCGGCGGGGCCGAAACCGAGGAAGGAGGCGAGGTCACGGCCAACAAGGGTCGAGTTGGCAGGGATAGTGCCGGTGGTGTCGAAGGTGTTGTTCTGGGCGTTGGCCTGGTTGCCGTCGACGGCGGTCTGGCGGTCACGCTTAAGGCCTGGTGGGTAAGCCTGAGGCTACGTGGCGGCTCAAGGTCAGGCAGACTCACCGAAAGCCTCGTAAAGACCATCCTGCGTCAATCCGCGGAAGTTGGTCTGGCCGAAGTTGGTCTTGGGGACGTCGACACCGGCCTCAGCCATGCCCTGCTTGATCTGGGCGGTGAGGGCCTCGATCTGCTTGGGGTCGAAGCGCTTCAGCTTGTTGATGAGGCCGAAGATCTCGGTGTTGCCGCTGGGCGACATGAAGGGGAAAGCCGAGACTGAGACGGAGCTCAGGGCCGCGAAGGCCGAGACGAGGAAAGTGACCTTCATGGTCGATGGAAATGAGTGTGAATCAAGTTGGAGGATGAGGGAGAACGAGTCTCGATGGTGGCCTTCTTATGCCTCACGACTTTGGGGACACATCGCCTCGAGGCCACACTCGCCCACCCACACCGTCTCCCCTCGTCCCTCCCACGACGTTGTTGATCGCTCAAAGACCTTTGCTTGAGCCCGTTCCGTTATCCGCAAGGGACGGCCTCGCTGCACGCGGATCCTGGGGCCAAACCAACCCCTTGTCCACTCGGAGCGCGCGCGTTTCTCACTAGCGTGATCCTGCCACACATCCTACTACAAGGGGCGGATCGTGATCGGGAGCTTTGCGCGCGGGACTCATGAAGACGAGGGCGGGTGAGGGGTGTGTGTCAGCAAGCCGGCTAGCGTTTGACGGGCTGTCATCCGCCGCCGAGCACTCCGATGTCAGCGGCATCGAGCCCGGGGGCGGCAGTGGGATCAAAGCAGGGGAAAATGCCGTAAATGTCAGTTACTAGTTAGAAGGTGGAGATCAATTTCCAGCAAGGTGGCAGTTTAGAGAGATGGAAAGAAAAGCGAAACAGGATAAGCTCGAACCGAGGACATAGAGTGGAGGGGGTGAAAGGGCAGCGTGGCGGATCATCAGGCACCGGGGAGCTACTGGACGCGTCCAACGCGTCTTTTTTCGCTTGGCGCCACCAAAGTCCAGGATCACGCCAGCGCGGGAATCGAGTGCGCCAGCGCTCCTCCCTGCTCTAGTACCAACAGCCGCGGCCGCCGCTGACCAGGGTATTTTGTCGCAGCACGTTTCATGTCCAGCTGACGAGAGGGGATGCTGTGGTTGGCCACTGCCACTGCTCCTCGCGTCTCGCCGGTACTCGCCGCCTGCTGCCTGCATAACCCAACGCTCATGCACAGATGTAGGGGAGGCTGCCAGATGTGTTCTGCTGCATTCTGTGATCAGTGAGTTGTGTGTGAGACGCTACAGCTGGCGTAGACGTGGCAGGGGCAGGTGGCAATGTGCAGGGGGTTTCTTGGCCTCCCTGATTCCAGCCATCGACCATCGGCCTTGTTCATCACGTTCACCTCGGACCGCCGGTGCCGAGGGACATCCGCGAGCTTGAATGCCATGTGCCTCTTACTCTTTACCCGCCGCGGCTCGCTACGCCAACCTTGTCACCGATCATGGACATCTGGCATGCTCAAGCAAGCGAGCGTCGGGCAGATCTGGGCCAGCTCAAGTATCCAGGAGGGCATTACCGAAGTCCGAATCCGGCGCCTGGAATTCAGTGCGAGCGGAGAAAAATCACTCAATAACGGGTTGCAGTTCCTCTTCTCCCTGTCATGGTTCGCAATCCCACTCCATCCCTGGTTCCAGTTGCTATTCTGCGCCACGATCCGCAATCGCGCCACACTTACATGAGCGCGCGGTGACGTCGGCGCCGAGTAGCAGTCACGCGTGCTTCGTTTCGTGACATCGTTTGCTTGATTGCAGAGGTGTTTGAGGACAAGAGCGGCGTAAGCTAGCTGCGCGCGTCATGCACCACGTCCGGCTCCGAGTATTGTACCTCCCCAAAATGGCTTAATGCGTTGCAGGCACCCCGCAAGATAAGCTGCATCAGTTACGCACCGACGCGTTCTCGCGCCCAAACTGACAATCTAACACCAGATGCGTTCGAGAAGTCGAGCACTAACGCATGCGGTGGACTCTGGGCCATGTTTTGGTTCCTAGCCCCGCGCTCCACTCCCGTGCCTGCTGTTTCGTAACCCGGGACTTCGGGCCGCCGGGTGCGGGCCAGGGAATATTCCATTCCGTAAGGCGGGAGTGACGGTGGGGTCTGTTGAGGCTGGAGGGGGTGGGTGAGGGGTGGGCGTGTCGGGGTGTCAAGTGTGAGCATTTCGTGTTTGGAGTCCATGAAGAGAGTTGGGGG